GTCGAGCCCCGCCTCCGGTGCCACAACGCCTCCCGGTCACGGCAGGCCCTGGACAGGCTCGGGGGCGGGGGGGGAAGAGTCCCCATCTCCTCTAGGAGCACCGAGGGCCTGGAGAAGCCCTTCCCTCAGCCCATCCCAAGCACCCAGCCAGGGCGCCCACCCCTCCAGCTCAGGGCTGCCCCCTCTCCCTGCACTGTGCACCTAGACGTACCCTAATAGATTTATTAGGGCATATGATTTTGTGGGTAAATCCTACTTCATCAGACGAATTGGAGTGGAAGTTACAGAAGCAGGGTATGTATAAGGAAGAAGTTGCTTGTGTTGGAGTGTGAAGCCCAGACCGGGTCAGGAGCTAACAGGTTTATTCACTGCAGCCGGCCAGCGCGGGTGCGGGGAGGGGATCGCCAGCGGGGGACAGGGCCCCTACCTAGGATGCCCATGTCGTATTTGCCCTCCTTCTTGTCCTTCTCGATCAGGTGGTCGAAGGTGTCGGTGAAGTACTGGAAGAGCATGTTCTGCTTGTGCACCTCCAGGCCCAGGATGCGGTTCAGGAACTTGGTTATGGAGCAGTCTGCAAGAGCACCGGAGAGGGCAGGGACTCAGCGGTGCTCAGGGCCACCCCCGCCCCACCTCGGCTTTCCACAGCAGGCAGCCTGGCAGGACCAACGCTGCCGGCACTCCAGAGCTTGGCTCGGTGGCCAAGCCCTGTGGCACGTCCCTGGTGCCGCGTCTGGCCCAGGCTGCAGAGCTACGGGAGCTGGGCCTCTCGGCCTGTCCCTCCGCAGGCCGGGAGCAGGGATGGCCACTCACCCTTCTCCACCGAGGCGTAGCCGTACTTCATCTCCTTGCAGCAGATCCCGACCGACAGGAGACCTTGTTTCATTTCTGCAATGGCAGAAGGGGAAGCAGCCGGCTGCCACCCCACCCCAGGCCAGGTGCCCCTTAGCACAGCAGCCCGGCTAGCAGCGACAGCAGGCCAGCTCCCTGCAAAGGCTCCGGCAGGCGAGGCGCCAGGGCGTCCCCGGCACAACACG